AACGACACTGCTTGCCTACACTTTGATATTCTGAGCTTATTGCGTAGAACGTACCACAGGGTATGCACTGGAAGCAAAAAAGACTTTGCTTGAACTTTCAAAACGCTGATTCGGTGTAATTTTTATAACAGACGTGACTAAAAAGGAAAGCATTTCAAGTCGCCATGGCCATCAGGAACGAAATGCATATTATTAGGGCCGTCCTTTTCGCTGATTTCAAATATTCTTCCATATCTGCTGTGCTGCTCTCTAAAAAAAGCGTTTAAAAGTGTAAAGTTGTTTTCTTTAATACATGATGTGCTTTGAATATCATCTTGCGAGTGCATTAATAGCATAATGTTGAGCGTACTAACTTAAAGGAATGCACGCATAAACCAACAACTTGGCTAAGCGTTTCTGAACGAGTACTTCTAAGGTTATGGCACCGAATGCTTGTCACTTTCGGATCTTCAAACGCTCTTAGTTTCTTCTGAAGCGGTGCAGCAGATATGGAAGTCAGATTTGACCCACTTTTACTCATGTAATCTATTTGTTCAAAAGTAACCGTAGCAGGCCGATTTGACCTAAAGTATGCGATACTCCAAGCTGCGTTAGGCAATCGCCTACATGTTGTAAGAAGCTGAATATCAATTTGGCAGCTAAGTGACGCAGAATTTCTAACTTTGTCCAGATGTGGTGCCCTCACTGGCATGTTGCAGATTATGACGTCTTGCCAGATTTTTATTCTGTCATCGCTGAGGGTTACGTTTAGTACAGTAAAGAAAAAATTACAGATTAGTACAGATAGACGTCCTAGAGGGTTATTTAACATGGTGATCACGTAAATTTCTTGATCCTCGCATGTGCCTCCCTTATGCAGGGCCTGCTATTCTTGTCAGATGTCTCCATGTCGTCCTATCTGAGGCAAGGTCTTCGTCTATACCAAGTTCTTGCAGGTCGGCGGCCTCGAATTTGTCCATCTACCTCATCTGTCTACCTCTGGGTCTTCTACCTGGTGCCTCCATAGTCAGGGCTAACTTTGTGATGTAATTTTCATCCCTTCTGCGCACATGCCCATGCAATCGTTTCCTCTTTTCCTGCATTTTCTGGCAAATGGAGCTGCTTTCATTTGCGCTCGTATAGTCTCGTTCAGATGTGATCCTTCAGTAGGACTCCTATGGTCCATCGTATCATCCTTGTTTCCATGACAATGAGCATGCGTTCCTCGTTCCGCGTACACGGCCAGCACTCACTGCCACACAGTGCCGCTGGACGGATAACGGTGCGGTACAGTTGGGACTTGAGATGCACTGGCATTCTTTTGTCGCACAAAACTCCTGTCAAGGCTCTCCATTTCATCCGTGCTGGGTTCATCCTGCATGCGACCTCCTCTTGTAAGCATCCCTCCGCTGAGATGTGACTGCCTAGGTACTTGTATAACGTTGTCTTCATTAGCTTTTCATCATCGATGCTTATGGTACCAGTGGCCGTATTCATCAATGAACCCTGAGGGTTAAACTAACCCTGGAGGGTTAGTTTAACCCTCAGGTTCAGTTAACCCTCTAGGGTTAGTTTAACCATGGAAAGCAATTAACTCGTATTCATAAAACACAATGTAGGCTTAACCCTGAGGGTTAGATCTACCCTTGAGGGTAAACCTTACCCCGAAAGCGATTGACCCGTATTCATCAACGAATCTTGAGGGTTCAACTAACCCTGGAGGGTCAAACTTACGTAATCATCAGGGTTAATTTGACCCTAGCTTAGAGCAAGGTTAACTCTACCCTGACACTTCATGCAAACATTTACTCGCATCTAATAGTTTTATGAAGAACGATCAACGAGTATTGTAGTATTCAGTATTAGATTGCGGTTATAGTATTTAGTTTCGACTTCGTTTTATGTTCAAATTCGAAGTACATGAAATGACTTCGCGAAAAAAGAATTCTAGCTTTGGCGACAAATGAATGCGACGAGGAAAAATGGTTGCGCATTACACTCTGACAAGTGCCAAAACAGAGGAATTCCTTTATGATAACACGCATTGACCCTTAAAAGAGTAGCACAATCCCGGTTTAAAAGGAACTGAGCAAAAGCAGTACTTACACGGCACAGTTGCACATATGAAAATAAACTTACGCTGTAAGTTTGGATGCTGCACAAATATGCTAGAGATGTATTATAAAAACTAGTGTTAGAAGCTTATTCGTTGATTATACTACTATAACAGTTCAAGAATAGAAGTATAAAGTGAATTTAGCACCTACTCAGGCATTCTGTGATGTGAGTTTGCACAGCGCACGCGTAACTGACGCCTTTATCCCCAGGGTTAGTTTAACCCTCCGGGTTCATTGGCCGTATTCATCAACCAATTCGTTGATGGATACGGCTACAGGTTCGTTGATCGATACGGGTGGATTTCGGTGGCACATTCCCTATGGTTGATGAATACGGCCAATGAACCCTGAGGGTTAAACTAACCCTGGGGGTAAATTTAACCCTCAGGGTTCATTGATGAATACGGCCACAGGAACTCATTTTCCCACTTCCATATATTCTGTCGTGCTGGTGAGCTTCAGGGCACAACTTTAGCTTGTCTTCCAATTTTGAACCTCGTCTTCTAGCTCCTTTCTGGTGCTTGCTCTCAAAACCACATCATAGCGTAGAGAAGTGTCCAAGGAGGTTCTTGTCTGAGCGAGAGCAAGGGAGAGAGAACCAAACCTTGGTGTACTTCGACCAATTTGGAATTCTTTCGATTGCCCTGTTTTAATTATAAGCGGTGCTGTATAAAATATTATCATATATAACAACATGGGGAGGAGTGGCGTAGTGGCCTGAGGCGTCGCTATGACCAGATCGGGCGCAGGTTTGATCTCGCCCCTGGGCCAAGCCCTCTACTCTTCGGAGACGGTAAATTGGTACCAGAGTAATTTTGGGAGGATAAAAGCACTGACTTGATAATCGACTGGCCCCGCAAGACATTGCAAAGGCTCGCACACATATAATTGCCTCTTCGACTTGAAGTACTTTGCGTTCGGCGCATGCCCGCCGAGAATATTGAAGACGCCGAATCCTTTATCCTTTACTCTTTCTAATAATATATGATGTAATAAGATCGGTCCATAATTATACGAACACCCATATTTTGCCATTTCCCGGACTTTTTACAAGAAATGCAAGAAACCATTGTACCATGTGAACGAGCGTAGCCGAAAACAGTATACGCAGCACAAAAATGAATCCGAAGTCAAATTCGGAGAAGCATTGTGCGCCGAACGTTTTTTGACCGGTTCTGAATATACGAACACCTTGATCAGAGCTTTGTTGTCGCTTAACGTGGCAACCTTTTTCGTTCAAACTTTCACGTAAGACGGTCCTAAAGCCTGAGATGCATACTATGCGCTGAACGTAATAGTGTTTGAAAAGGGAGAATTTATTCTACTTTTATAGCTCGAAATGGCTCCGGACCGAGTTTTGAGAATGCCGGTTTTACTAAGATTTTAAACTTTCATCCATCTTATGCGGATAAAGGATGAGAGATCCAAAATGTGCAGTCGAGCGCCCAAGCATTGATGTAATCGTGCCACTTGCCAACCCAGTCCCAAACTTACCACAGGGTTGGCACAGTTTTGAGCTTCAAAACTCGACTTCTGCCGTCCGCAAAGTACTGTGACGGCTAATGCATCGTTTACATAATGATATATCCGTGCTAGAGGTTTTTAAAACCTCCGCAAAGCTATATTCAAAGTTCTGGAAAAGCAAGAGAGGGTTTGCCTGCGTTAATTTGCCTTTCATTTTCATTAAAAGCCGACTGCGTGGTGGAAACAATGTGCACTACGTTTAAATTTTTCAAACAAATTATGGAATCTTGTAAATCACACACAAAATCAATTCACGACATGCTTACAACGTTACAAATTTTTCGCACGGCAGAAGTCGGGTTCTGAAGTTCGAAAGTGTGCCACCCTGAGGTAAGTTTGGGACAGGGTTGGTAGTTGGTACGATTACATCAATGCTATTTAAGCGTTGGACTGCACATTTGTGGATCCCTCATCCTTTATTCGCATGAGCTGGATTGAAGCTGAAAATTTTTGTAAAACCGGCATTCTCAAAACTCGGTCCGGAGCCATTTCGAGCTATAAAAGTAGAATAAATTCTCCCTTTTCAAACACTATTACGTTCAGCGCATAGTATGCATCTCAGGCTTTAGGACCGTCTTACGTGAAAGTTTGAACGAAAAAGGTTGCCACGTTAAGCGACAACAAAGCTCTGATCAAGGTGTTCGTATATTCAGAACCGGTCAAAAAACGTTCGGCGCACAATGCTTCTCCGAATTTGACTTCGGATTCATTTTTGTGCTGCGTATACTGTTTTCGGCTACGCTCGTTCACATGGTACAATGGTTTCTTGCATTTCTTGTAAAAAGTCCGGGAAATGGCAAAATATGGGTGTTCGTATAATTATGGACCGATCTTTATACTAATATCGTTGGAATGTTCACTTGCGCACTACATAAAAGCGTCTAAATAAAAATAAGCTTTATGTTGAGCTAGAGAAAGCTGTCTCCGTTATAACAGAGTCTATAAAGTCTGATACTGATGATTCTGAGCGCCTAGATCTTGTGAAATCGATATGGAAAAAAGTCCATAACTTCGTTTATAGAGTCGCACAGCAGATAGTGAACATAGATTCGGGATTAGCGTTTCAAGACGCATCTACTGGTGTACATCTCAATGCAAAAGCCCACGGTCACCAAGTATCTCTTGTAAACAGGAATTATGCTTGGCAGCTCGCAGTGCGCCCTAAGGCACCCTTTCACATCAAAGAGTGACAGATGATGACAGTGTGGAAGCTGCGAAGCTGGTATATCAGGCTTAGCATATTCAGAGGCTAAATATGATAATCGCCAAAGCCAAAAATCTGCTGCATTGCCTTTGGTCATGGTAAGGATGTGGACCTTGCTTATACTTGAAGATCTAGATTTGCTGAGATTGCCTATTGCATTCTAATTGTATATTTAGGGACGTCAAACCGGAAAACATCCTCTTGACAAAGAATGACGTTGTAAAATTGGCTGATTTTGGATTTGCACGGATAATTAGTGAGTTGGACCTGTATACCGTTCCGTATATTCATGTCTGGATCCTCATCTTCTTTATTTCCATAGATCCTCAAGAAATGTACACTGACTATGTTGCTACACGATGGTATCGAAGTCCAGGTAAGCTTCAAATAAACACCAGCTTTCCCATTAGTTCAAAAACAGATTGAAGATGTAGTGGAGCGGAATTTTCAAGATACATAAGTCACTGTCGAAGTGGTCGAAAATTCTTAACACCGCAAGTTTAAAGCAAAGAAGTATAATCTCCGAGCGATTGATAAATACCGCCCTCGGAGAGCAAGAGCTAGCACACAGGAAACAAAGTCATAAATTTCCTTCCTTCACAAAATTTTGTCACACGTTTTACACATATTATCTATTTTATTTATTTATTTATGCATTATCTCAGATAATTGTCGAGGAGGGGGGGGGGGGGGAAGGGCAGGCGGCCATGCGGTTATGGGCGAGCGAGCACAGGAAAAATAGTCCGCTGATTTCTTGTGGTCCTCTTGCAGATATTTGGAAGAAAATCTTGGCAGTTTTTTGACGAATTCTCGGAGAAAATCGAGGATATTTTATAGATTAGTTGCGGCGCGATGGCCGCATTCTCGTGGACTTTCCGGGAGAACATCCAAGATTGTCGAGGGCCTACGATCCTTTGCGGAGGATCGCACAGTCGATAGGTACGTGCCGCTGAGAGAAAGTACCTCAAACTTGGGTAATTAAACAACCAATGACACCTCTGCGATATCTCAGATAATCGCCGAGGCAGGCGGTCCGCAAACTCGCGCTTTTCTGCAGGCGGTCAGCAGAATTTCGGGGCGTGGCCAAACCTTCAGCGGGCGGCACTTCCTTTACGGTCGCATATTCTGCCAGCGGGCAACAATACAGTATTTTTTTCAGGCGTTCGGCAAATTATTTCTTTCAGCAAGCGCTGATTGAACTTTCAGCAAGCGATGGGACTCTTTTAACGCAGTTTCGGGCATACGCCGAGTAAAGATGAGACTCTATGTGGCAGAGGTGTCTTGAATGGTTTAATTACTCAAGTTTGAGGTACCTTCCTTCAGCGGAAGGTACCCACGGGCTGTGCGGTCCTTCACAAAGGACCATGCGGCCCCCAATATTTTTGCATATTTTCGCGGAAAGTCCGCGAGAATGCGGCTATTGCGCCGCAACTAATCTATAGAAAAACCACGATACTTCTTCGAGCATTCCTCTAGAAATTGGCCAACATTCTCTCAAATTTTTGCAAGTGAACCGCATGAAATCGGCAAACTATCTTTCCGGTGCCCTTGCTCAAAATTCGCATGGCCGCCTGCCTCCGGCGATTATCTGAGATAGAGTCTTACTTTTGCTCAGCGTACGCCCAAATCTGTTTAAAGAGAGTCGAGCGCCTGCTGAAAGTTTGGCCAACGCTCGCTTAAAGAAATTTTTGACGAACGCTCGTAGAAAATTCTGTATTGCTGCCCGCCTGTAGAACATGCGACAGTAGAGGAAGTACCGCTCGGTGAAGGTTTGGCCACGCCCCAAATTCTGCTGACCGCTTGCAGAAAAGCGCGAGTTTGCGGACCGCCTGCTCCCGGTGATTATCTGAGATGATGCGCCCAACAAACGTATTGGTTCGACATGATTGCTAGTTTGCAGTAAATGATGAGATAAAGAATAAGTGCTGGTTTTTCGAAAGATCAAATTGTGCTGCAAAAATGAATTTACCCTAATTTCCGGGGTAGAAGGCGTACCCGCCGCAGCGAACAATGGCGCGAAAACGCTTTCTAAACGATTGCTTATTAAATCTAGGAAACTGAAGGTTCAAGACTGCTGTGGTTAACCGGTGCTACATTTGTGCTCTCCTTTATTCCAATAATGCTATTGGTACTGAAACTGTGCTTTCCTTTACAAATGATACTACTGGTATTTTAAATGTGCTGTTTTTGTTTTAATCTTGTCATTCTTGAAGAATAAAAAAGAACGTAAAGATTTGTTTTGAAACAAATCATTATTGAGAGGAAAACAGCAAAAAAGGGAGCAAAAAGCTACTCCTGGATGAAAGAGATTGCTGTTGGCTGCTTGTGCGGCGCCGCGCATCGCGTACGTCATCTCATCAGCCCGCGCGCTGAAAGCTACTGCGCCTTATACCCCGAAAATTAGGATATAGCCCACTCTCAACAGTTGTAGAGGTATGATTATAAGAGAAGAAGCATGAATAGTCATGCTGAATAGTCATGCTGCAATCATGGTGTGTATAGCCTTTGAGCTATCACTCTCAAGCGAAAAAAGAGAAAGCGAATGATCTTAATTCCATGCGTGCCCCGGCGGGAATATCTCTTTGAGCTTTCTCTTACATCGCTCCCAAGGAGAAAGAAGACAGCAGATAATAAGCACATCTGCATAGTGTTTTAAGTGAGGTTGTGAACACCCTATGAGTGAGGTTAATCCACGTTGAAAGAATAATTACAAGGGTTTGATGTTTGAACAAGCCAGCCCTTGCACATGTCAATAAACATGAAATAGCTGAACTGAAACTAAAAAATGGACTAGTAGTAAGAAAGTTTAGCCATTTTTGGAGTCTTTCACTTGCCGTCGTCGTCGTTCAAACGTATTGATTCTACGTTTGAAAGTAGCTGCATTCTCGGCTTGTAGCATTTTACACGGTAGTGTACAAAGTCATGGTAGAATTCTATAATAGAAACTGTTGAACACGAAACGAAAACGTTTTCTCGTACGAATACGTGAATAAATGTCAAATCCACCATTTCTACTAGTCGGTTTGAAAATCCAGTATATACTCGCAATGACTCTAAGCTCTTTGCGAATAAGTCGGAAGGCAAAGACAAGATTCACTGAAGGCAAAGAAAGATTCACACTTATACTCTAATATTTTCATCGCCAAGGATTTGAGTCTAGTCTCCTAATTGGGCATTTCAACATAATGAGCTTTCGTCGGCACTCATATTGGGTCGTTCCGGAAGTAATGTCGCATTTTTCAAATGAACGCCACATTTCGTGGAACCAAGATTTTCAAGAGCTCTTGGGATTAGTCGATGCAGCATTTTGTCCTCTTTCTAGTGGTTGTGATTTCATTGCATAATATTCAATGAATTCTCAAAAAATTACCAAAAGCTGCGACTCATGCTTTTTGCCATGGTCAAGTTCGGTTATTTTTCTATATTTGTACTGATTTTCCTAAGATGTACAGGTAACAGATAAATAGAGCAAACCCTATAGGCCACAAAACAATTTTTTCCTTTCCTTAATTTGCTTCTTAGAGTTTGTAGAATCAATTTTTCAGTGCTATCAAATTCCATATTTGGTCAACTCAAACGTCACAGAACAACAACGGGCAAGCAACTCGGGTGACATTAGACGCAGCTTTTTCTCCTCTTTTTACCAGTTGTTTTTGGTTTCCGATTCATAAAGTTTGCCATGGAAAAATCATCATAATATAGGTTTTCCAGGGCGCCCCAGGCTGTACCCGAAATTCCGGAAAGTTGCTAATCTGAAGCGATAAATGCTCATATGCTTTGTAAAATTGGTGCTAAACCATAATCCACTTTTGTACATTTCAGAATCCGAAAGTTTATTGGCGTTTGATGCATATGTGTTTGAGACCAGCCTGCAAAAATTCGGTGACTTCATTGAAAAATCTCTACAGAGATTATGCCGAAATACGGAAAGCAGAAAAAAATGGTACCGTTTTCTATAGGGTTTGCTCTATCCATCCATTACTTGGACTCCTTCCGGGAATTATTACAAAAGGTTAGAAAAATTGTAAAACTTGACCTTCCCGAAAAGCATGGATTGGAGATTTTAGCAATTTTTCAAAAGCCCATTGAGTATTCTGCAGTGAGGTTATAGCGGTTAGAAAGAGGATGAAGTGTTGCATCGAATGCTACCAAGACCTCCTAGAAATCTTGTTTCCACGAAATGTAGCGCTCACTTGAAAAAAGCGACATTACTTTCGGAACGACCCAATATATAGTATTCGAGTGAACGTATGTTGAACTTCGTCCAATTAACGTATATCTTTCTTGAGAAAAGAACTCCACACACCAAAACAATATTCTAAATGAGAACGTAGGCATTAAAGAGCCGTTTGAGAATTAAGGGATTTATCGGTATGTACATTGCGGAAAGTAGTAAATAATACTGAAAATGCTTTGTTAACTGCATAATCAATATAATTGGCAAAATTCAGTCCAGAATCTACGAGTACACCCAAATCCTTGGCAATAGAGCAGTTCTTCAATCAAATTCCGTCTATCTCATAAACTGTGAAGTCATCATCTCCGAAATGCATCACAAAGCTTTTTTCTTAGTTTACAGATATGCCAGAGCAAGCAGCCCGTTCCATCATTTTTCCAAGAGAAGCTTTTATCGCTGAACGGACCTGTATTAAATTATAGTTATCAAACTTCCGTAAATCTTTACGTCGTTGGCATACATCTGAATTAGCAGACGTATAGACGTATTCAAGACGGATGGAAGTTAGTAGCGTATAGTAGAAAGAGTAATGAAAAAAGGACTGCTCCCTGTGGAACGCCACTTGTACAGAGTTGCCGTTCAGAAATTTGGTGTTCCATTTTAACCATCATATTAGTTTTTAAAACTTCCTCCCCCCTCCCCCACGTCTAGTTGCTGCCCTCCCAAAATTTGAATGGTGGCGACAATCCTGTTGCGAGCGCGCAGTAGTGCGCGCCGGGAAAGCCACCAATTGGGAGAATACGAACACCATTACTATGCTCTTTTTGTTTTTTATTCTGTTCTAATCCTCTTTGTTAACCTTTGATTCGGGAACAAGTGGCGTAGTGGTATGAGGCGGCGCTATGACCAAATCGGACCAAGGTTCGACCCAGCCCTGTGCCGACCAAGCCCTCTACTCTCCGGGCCCAGTAAATTAGTACCAGAGTAATTTGGGAGGTTAGCACTGACTGAGTACGGCTGGGCTCCGCAAGTCACTGTGGTAGGCCCGCACGCATTGATCTCATTAGCCTCTTCGACTATGAAGCAGAGTGCGTTCGGCGAATGCCCGCACAGGTTACTGAAGATGCCGAATCCTTTATCATTTATTTAAGCTTTGATTTCATAAGCTGTCATAGACGGTGATATATCTTTATTGCGAAGTCAAAGGATTTGCTAAAGCCACATTGTGCCGAGGCCTGTCCACCATTGTTATAGTAACCCAATCCGATCTAATGATTTGCGTAACAGAAAATATTTCAAATACTTTGCACTTGACTGGCTGGCACTGACTTCTAAAAATTGCTCTTGCAAATGTTGTTACCAGAAAGTGGTATGTGTATCGGATAGTCCAATTGCAAGTTTTATCTAGGGCTTCATAGAGCCGTACTGGTTTCCATACGCTTTCACACAAATAAGCTTGATGCGAAAATGCTTAGATGCTGGGAATTTCAGTAATCCGTGATATGACATACGAATTCTCTATTGTACAAACAATATTATAAACATTGCTCAATTTCTTCTTTGCCAACATTATGCCAAGGTTTAAAGAAAGGAGAACTTTTGAATATTATAAACGTTTTGGGTTTACTAAGACATCGCAAGAACAATTTCAAGCTTGGTGGAACTCAAATTTGCAGTCAGGTCGGCGCCTTTTCGACATACCAGGAATGAAGTTCGTTTCTGTGTTCAAGAAAGCGTCTGGAGAAAAAAAAGGAACCCTTCGCTTCCGTGTCAGCGAATTTGAAGGATATTTTACTGTACAGATTAGAAGGTAGACTAGATGTGGAAGTATTTCCGAGCTAGAAGGAGATGAGCACTGTTTTTTTTTCAAAAGTATACAACCTTGACTTGAGCAATTATCTTTCATTTGCATCATAATCCTACATAAAATCTTTCGGAAGACAAAAAATTTAAGTAAGTTTATAACCTGACAAGCCTTTATTTCAGCGTTCTACAAATTCTAATTTCTTTTTCTTGTTAAAAGCAACAAAAACGAGACATAATTGACAGTGACATCACGCTGCTTACAGATATGCCAATAAATTAATATATCGACAACTGTGTGAAGTACTTTTGGATAGAATAAATTTGACCAACACTATAGCATCATCTTTGAAGGTGTTGCTCCCCTATCCATTGTAGCAACCTTGGGTCTAGTTTTTGAACAAAACATTGAAATTAACACGAACAAGGAATGTGAACGAGATTTTTCCAGAATGTCTATAGGTTCTAGGCTACCCAAAAAACATCATGGATCTCTAAACTCATTAATGCCTGTTTCAAATCTCAATGACTCTGTCTAGCTTTCCAGAACTTCTTGTTGGTGATACGGTCTACGGTCCGCCAGTGGACATATGGGCAGTCGGTTGTGTGCTAGCAGAACTTATAACTGGTGAAGCTCTTTGGCCTGGAAGGAGCGATATAGACCAGTTATATCTTATCAGAAAAACAATAGGTGATTCTTTTGTTACTTACTTGGTATCTACAATGCGTTCAACGAGGCCAGCGCCGCGTAGTGCAGCCACACATCTATGCGCGAACGTTACCGCACGCGCAGTATGCAGGGGCCATGCTGCGCACAACATCGCGGGCTTTGTTCTTATTATTGTAACACGTGATTTTCCGTTTTACTAGCAGCGGATTGCCATTTTTCTTGCTTCTATGCTCACATGACTTGTCTTGATACTGGATATAATTTTTTTCGTAGCATAGAAATGAGGTATCAATTCTTTGAGTTTTACCTCATGACATCTTTCATTTCCTTCTTCGGATGGCTGATTCCGGATGTCGTGATTCATTATATCGACTCGTGTTTCAGCGAACCTAATCGTGTATCATTTAGGTATAAGTGGACAGGATAAGGCGTTGTTCACTCAAAATGTTCTCTCAACCTGTACAATATAGCATTACACCTCACATATTCACCTTTAGCTGTAAGGAAGAAGAGCACCAGGACGCCATCTAAATCTACTTGACAAGCTGCGCGACTGCCCTCCAGCCGGCTAAGTAGATTTAGATGGCGCCTTTGATGTCACTTTGGAGAAAAGTTAAGTCCGTGTCAGCGAGAAAAAGTTAAATGCTCAAAAAAACGTACCGTAACTTGCGTTCTTCAATAGCTGGGGCGCGTTTTCATGTAGTGACTTTCGATATGCGAGCGATATGCGACAAAATGAGAGTGTGGGAGATAGACACATTGAGCGGATAGATTCATGACTGCTTGCTATATGTCTCACTAGATCACTTGCTAGTAGAATAATACGATTAGATAAGATGTTTTCTTGCTCAACCTAGTCCCTACACATCCTTCTTTTTTATGACAAAGCTGTCTATAATTACTTGGTGATGTAACATATCTCTGCAGGACAAGTTTTCGTTCTAAGTGAGTGAGAAAGTGTTGTTGCTTTGAAGCAAAATATTTGTGATATTTCCGCTTCCAAATTTGCCCGCAAGAGTAGACGTTTGCAAGTATCATTTGCCATGATCGGACATGGCCGACATGTACTTTGATTACAGTTCAACAACTCTATGCATCTTGCAAGAATAAATATTTCGTTATTTGCAACGAACTTTGAAGAAACGTGCTATACGAGAGCTTTCTTGCCAGATTGCATTTAGAAATAAGAGATGTTATCATTAATTTTCCCTGCAACCCTAGAAGAAGATAGTTTATCCAAAATAGTCATACAGAGGAATTGCGTCGTGCACAAGAAAGAAGTAAATCTCTATTTCAATCATATTCGACTCTTGCAAGATAAATAGCAGTTTTGTTACAAAGGTTTCCCCATAATCGATCTAAATGCAACCACAATTCCAACAACTACATCTATGTGCAAAAACTTGCTATACCTTTATCTGAATGTAGAGGAACGTTTATCAACTTCTTGAGCAGCTGATGGATATTGTTCTCAATGACTTTAAGAGCTTCGGTTTCCTCACTGTTAGAAGTGTTTGCGTTCCATCTCAGTGTCTAACTTTTAATCAATGCCGCAGTGCTGCTGTAACTTGTTCTTTAGGTAAATAGCGGACAATATGGAACTTTATGTAGAAATGCCTCAAACAACGCCATTTGAACGCAGAGAATTCAGTGACACTAAAGCAAAAAGAAACCTTCACGGGCTCCCGCTTACAAATGTGTTCGTTCACGCAAAGTCTTGAATAAGGGATAAAAGGGAACTTGTAGCTTTCCTGTGCTAAAATGATGACATACACATGTGTAGGCGAAGCCGGAGCTGGAAAGGTGTGGGTCCCCCGCAGGAAACCTGCGCGAAGGGCGCAGGTTAAGTTTGTTATTTTGAGCATTCAACTATTCCTCATATTCGCGATTTCATTACAACAGACACTTTTTGGTGGTATGACCTTCCTTTAACTCAATTTCTCTTACTGCGAGGTTCTCATCTCTCCAAAACTACACTACGATTTCCGTTCGATGTGACGTCAAATGTCTTGAGTTTACTAGTTGGCGCAAGTTTACCGCTCCTGCTGCAGCAGGACGATTGGCTAGCCTGGCGTCCACCTACAGAATTGTTTGAGCTATGTACGCCCAAGGACTCAGTGGATGCTGAAAAAATCGTCTAACATTGCTTGCAGTTCCGCACTGTCGTCACATAGAAAACACAATGTTTTCATAGGCGGCGTGGATATTTCTGCTGTAGATTTGCTGCTAATGACATGACACTAGCAAATTCAAGAAATGGTTGCCTTTATTAAGTGTTGATTTCAATGGAACTACCAACTCGGATAATCGCCGGGGGCAGGCGGTCCGCAAACTCGCGCTTTTCTGCAGGCGGTCAGCAGAATTTTGGGGCGTGGCCAAACCTTCAGCGGGCGGCACTTCCTTTACGGTCGCATATTCTGCCAACGGGCAACAATACATCATTTTCTGCAAGCGCTCGGCAGATAATTTCTTTCAGCGAGCGCTGATTAAACTTTCAGCAAGCGATGGGACTCTTTTTACGCAGTTTCGGGCATACGCCGAGTAAAGATGAGACTCTATGTGGCAGAGGTGTCATTGATGGTTTAATTACTCAAGTTTGAGGTACCTTCTTTCAGCGGAAGGTACCTACGGGCTGCGCGGTCCTTCGCAAAGAACCGCGCGGCCCTCAATATTTATGCATATTCTCGCGGAAAGTGCGCGAGAATGCGGCCACTGCGCCGCAACCAATCTATAGAAAAAACCACGATACTTTTCCGAGCATTCCTCGGATTGAAAATTCCTCAAAAAGCATTGAAAATTGGCCAACATTCTTTCAAATTTCTGCAAGTGGACCGCATGAAATCAGCGAACTACTTTTCCGGTGCCCGCTCGCTCAAAATTCGCATGGCCGCCTGCCGCCGGCGATTATCTGAGAATTGCATGCACGCTTATACAATGCGTTTATCGGGGCCAGCGCCGCGTAGTGCAGTCACACACCTTCGCGCAAGCGCTACCGTGGGCTGCAGCGTGCAGGGACCATGCCGCGCAAGCGCTGCAGCCTACGGCAGCGCCCGTGGTCCTTGTTTTAGCTAATTTTCCTGCTTCTTTCTCAGCTTATTCGCTGCCCTGCTTTCAGAGTGGTACTTCCTGAGATCTCTCAAAGTATCACCGCGAGAATGGAAGACCAAATGGAGGTTTGAGGTGTAAAAGAAGATGTAATCTACATCATTTCATTTGGGAATTCTGAGAACGGGTGGTGCTCGGCGCCATCTAAATCTGCTTGACAACTGCGCGGGCGGTCGCGCGCGTGCCATCACTGTGTGTCGGGAGCAAGGGCTCGGCTTGCTGCTAGGATGTCTGAGAAACAGTTGCGATGTATAAGTGATTTTCGCTTCAACACGATGGTTATGTGGTGCTCAATAGCTTTGCTGCCATTGATACAACCTGTTTCACGGAGAGATGGGTGGGAAAACTCCATAAAACAGCACAGTAAATTTACTCAAGATATGTTACTTTCTTCCTTCTAATCAATATCTTACTTTTCTGTCATCCAGATCCTTTTTTTTCAAAACGCTCTTATAAAAAAACTTTATTTGGTCTGAAACGTTTTTCATAGATTCTACGAGGACTGCCTCTCCGGCACGTGTCAAAAAAATTGCCACGTGTCAGCCCGTTTTGAAATGTTTCCTCGAAATCATTTCCGGTGAGGTAAAAAGCATTCGTGGACCACCTAAGCTTAAGTGTTTTTGAGCAAATATCTAGAATATAGCAAATATATAAAATAGCAGAGCATATTAATTGCTTTCATGTGTGATTCAAAACTTTCTTTCTCTTCAAATTTTCCGCGCAAGTTGGGTCTCAACATTCGTGTTCTGTACATCGATATGTTCTTTTTTTTTCTACAATAAAAATTTATGTCCACCTGAACTTGAACTGGACTTGAGTGACGGTGTCATCTTGGATATGGATCATTTTTTCGAGCATCCAAGATTAGTTTTACAGATGATGCTGCATCGGACAGAAAAGAAAAAAGTGAGCAAATTCCACATTTCTAACTTTTCAAAGAACATCGAGGGATGTAACTAATATTAAGCAGGGCAATGTTGCATGCTTATCCTCATGTTCTCACAAACGTCTATGTTAGCTTGTCTCTTTCAAGTCAATCATTCGCACTCAACCGGTAACGATGTCAGGACGGCTAGCGGAATCGAGAAGACCGCTCCGGAAGCTGGGAGCGTGAATTCACAGTGGGGAGGACCCCGCCCACTTGCTGATTTCCCTCCTGTGTTAGAGCCGTTTTTCGTCGTTTTCGCGCTCTCTAATGTGCATTTTCGGATTTAGCGTATCGAATAGGCCTGGGTAAGCACAAAATCTCGAAATCGAGTTTTTGCCCGGACACTGCCTTTAAAGGCAGTAGCTCGGCAAAACTCAACAACTCAAAATTTTAACGCGGTAGACTCCTTTTTGCCCAAGTATGAAAACAGTGTAATCCCGGTTGCACAGCATGCCTTCCTTGCCGAGAAAATTGCTCTCAAACTTACACGAGCAGGCCATTCTTACACGCATCTGGACGAGTTGGCAATTTCCTTCTCACCATTGGAGGCTGCCTGCCGCAATGCTATAACCATTGGGTCCTGCAACGATTCGGCGTCATCAGCTTTGCAGCACTCGTCTAATTCCAAAGGAAAGGGCATTGAAAAACGCTCGTTTTCGGCGCTTTCAAGCTCTCAAAAGTGGATTTTTGGATTCAGCGTATTGAATAACCCCGAGTAAGCGAAAGTTGAGATTTGCCGAGCCACTGCCTTTAATCCACTTCATCCACTTCATCTTTACTTCATTTACTTCGCAATTGGTCAAATCAAGAGGTTTAATTGGGCATCCGCTTCGCTGTTGGTGAGGTGAGTTCATAATCCTCTTTGTTATTGGTCATACTGCTTTGATCAGTAGCGAAGTGGATGAATTGGGTCAAGCAGATCAAGTGAATTGTGCCGCCTGTCATGTGTGCAAAGAATGTACTGAATGTTACGGAGTCATGAGTTAGG